TACTTGCACGACACTAAAAACCCATAGACTTCTGTGACAGACGTTGTGTAGATTCAGGTCCACAGATAAATTATACATGTAGTTATCACTTTCATTTGAACTATAAACACCTCAACAAATTAAATGATCGGAGCAGGGACGACCGAATCACCAGCTCCCCATGGAAAGTCTTTACAAAGAATAGATAGTGCTAATTATTATTATGACAATGACAATGACAATCTGTATGTGCGTACACTAGAAAAATGTCCACCCTTCACATCGCTGGGAAGTATGAGGTCACTAAAGTAAAGTTGTAGTCGGGGAGAGAGACCAACTGGTCTAAAATTGACTTATTTGGATACTCGTACCTAACTGAACTATAAACACCCCAGTAAATCAAGTGTGAGGAATGCTGACAAAAATATGAGTACCTTTTCACAATCCATAAATGGAGATATTGGCCAAAAATAGACACTAGTGTCAAATTTGTAGACCTTCTATTGACGTCATATTTATTTCTTTTAGTATAACATGCCCTTTAATATTTCATACTTATAAATTGTACAAACTTCACCTACAAGTGTGTTGTATACATTTCCCATAGGGATCGAATCCGAGAAGTAACTCATTTTATCAGCTCTCGATTTTTTGTCTGGTACAACCGAATCATGAACTCCCTGTGGAGAGTCTTTGCAAACAATAGATAATGCTAATTATCATTACGGACGTGCGGTCAAAAATTCGTGGCGCAACTTATCCCCATAATATTATCTCTTCAACGGGTGAATCAGTGTCATCCATACTTTGCCCAATCATATTTTTCCAGAACAATTGAGGCTAGGCCTAAGTTAAAAAAAAAACTTTTCTTCATAAATTTATAAAATACTTGAAATCTCCATCACACATAAAATGGTGTTGTTCACACCACTTCCCGATTTTCACACACATTTTGATTACGCAATGACAATTTTTAGTTGCAAAACTTGTTACAAGAAATTATTTTTTTTACAGTAAACACAGTTTGCACTAATGGTTTTCAAAACGTACGTTCAAGAAGCATAATGTCCCGATTAGAAACACCTGACGGACTTGCTATTAAAAGCAATATTGCCCGAGCTGTAAACGTTTAAAAATCTGTAGAAACCACCCAGTTGGATTGTTAATTGTGAAGGGTGCTGACAAAATGAGTTACTTCTCGGATTCGAGCTCTATGGAAATCGCTACATCCCGCTTATAGGTGAAGTTTTCACAATTTATAAGTATGAAATAAAATAATGAATGTTATACTTAAAGAATATGACATCGACGGAAAATCTACAAATTTTACACTAGTGTCGATTTATGGCCAATATCTCCATTTGTGGGTTATGAGAAGTAACTCATTTTGTCAGCACGTCTTACAATTAGTATTTATTAAGGAATTTTCTAGAATACAGCTAGCTGGTGTTTACAAGAATGTTGATCTGTTAAGACAAATTGATACAAGTCATTGTGCATTAGCTGGATAGTTTATGTTCGATAGTTGAGGAGATATTTGACAGTAAATTGCGCCACGAATTTTCTTTTTACCACACTATAGAATGTAACTTTGCGCGGGACCTAAGCCAGCTGCTTCATCAACCCAATCTGTCAGGGTCAACCAACCAACCTGGGCTGAGATTGGGTCCAGAACCCCCCCCCCCCTCCCACACACACACACCCCAACACATCTGGCAATACAGTTTCTTTTTTAAAAACTTCCTCATACAGAAACCAAATTTTCATTTAAAATTGGGCAATGGCTAAGAGTTTAACTGCATGTTTTACAACACATACGCTGGTTTGAAAATGTTGGCGATAATAGCCTATAGATACTGAATGTGAAGCTACACCAGAAAAGTTTGAGCTGCACGCACTTGTCAGGGACGGATTTTGCAGAGAAGTATAACGGGTTGTTTCAATGGTAGATGAAAGAGGAGAACGACGCCAAAAATTCCAAACTTGACGCTGTCAACAAAGGAGGAAAAATAATATTAACATTTTATTACTTATCCCCGTGGGAAATGTGGGTAACAATGGCAAGCACTCATATGACCCTATGCAGTTGCGATCGCCGTAAAACACTTACACAAAAAAGGCATGAAATGTGGTAATCTGTGGTTGAAGTTGTTGTGTGGTCGTTGGAGGGTCGAAATCGTCGTGGGTTGAAGTCGTTGTGGGTTGTGGTCATTGGAGGGTTGAAGTCGTCGTGGGTTGACGTCGTTGTTGGTTGTGGTCGCTGGAGGGTCGAAGTCGTCGTGGGTTGAAGTCGTTGTGGGTTATGGTCATTGGAGGTTGTGGTCGTTGTGGGTTGTGGTTGTTGGAGGGTTGTGGTTGTTGGAGGGTTGTGGTTGTTGGAGGGTTGTGGTTGTTGGAGGGTTGTGGTTGTTGGAGGGTTGTGGT